ATATATATATATATATATACATATATATATATATATATGTATATATATACACACATTCTACACAAATATAAATAAATATAATATATACTTATGTAACTATATGTATATATACAGATCTATAATAAGTGATAATGATAGTGTGAGAAGAATAAATAAATGCCGATAAATGTGTAAGAAGGCCCGATCGGACCCCGGTGAGGCTTTGAGTGTGCGCTTTATTATTTTTTTTGTGTGTTATTTTTTAGGCTGTGCAGCTGAGTAGGCGTTTTAAAGCCGGTCCAGTTAGTGACCACTGAGATCCGCTATCTGACCACATTCCACAGCAGACACCCGGCGTGGATTCAACTTTAACCCACAGCCACTCGCCCCCCCCCCCCCCCCCAGTTGCAAAACCCAAAAAAAACAAAAAAAAAAAAGTAAAAAAAGGCCACACTCAAAGCCTCACAGGGGTCCGATCGGGCCTTCTTACTCATTTATTGGCATTTATTTATTCTTCTCACACTATCATTATAACTTTATCATAACATTTACATACACATTTACATATACATATAGTTATATATGTATATATTTATTTATATTTTGTTTGGAAAGTTGTATATATATATACATATCTTCTCACACTATCATTATCACTTATTATAGATCTGTATAGATAGATCTTATTATAGATCTGGAGTTGCTAACAAAAATAGTTTCCCTCTGGGATTATTAAAGTATTTCTGATTCTGATTCGTATTTTAGATGAATTTAGATGATTTTTCCGATGAATGTAGATGATTTTTCAGATGAATTTAGATAATTTTTCCGATGAATTTAGATGTTTTTCAGATGAAACCAGGAGGCTGGTTTTGAGGGGAAAGTTTCTCCAGAACAACAGGAACGGCCCTCTGACCGGGCAGATATCTGGGTCAGTCTGTGTGTTTCTATAAGTCCGTGTGGACGCGGGGACGTGTGGACGCGGGGGTCTCTGGCCATTATCGGGAGGAAACGTCTGTGGGGAAACTTCCTGCCAGGGGAGGCTGGCAGAGAGGGGCAACCCCAGGTCGCCCCTCGGCCAATCAGATTACAGCACAACAACGGTGGCGTTTCGGAGGTCAGCCGAGTCCGTCTGGCTGCAGGAAGCCAAGGATGGAGATCCAACTCCACCCACATCCAAGTCGGCCATTTTGATTAGGTCACCAATAGGAAAATCCCAGGCAAGGAAATCCTAATTGCTTCATGTCAATATAGACATCAATTTAAAAATAGTGAAATGAATCTTGCAAACACTGAATTAAACTCTATCCATAATATTATGTTAAAATAGTGGATGTTAAATAGGTTTGTACGATAAGTCCAAACAAGTTTAACCAAAAAATATTTACTACTCACAATTATGAAGGCTGGAGGGTTAGGGTTAGGGTTAGGGGTTACGATTAGGGTTAGGGTTTAGTATTAGGGCCAGGGTTAGGTTTATGTTTAGGGTTACAGTTACGGTTAGGTTAGGTGGAGTATTACGGTCAGGGTTAGGACAAGTTTAACCCAAAAATATTTATTTGTCACAATTATAAAGGGTGGAGGGTTAGGGTCACGGTAAGGTTTAGGGTCAGGGTTAGGGTTAGGTTAGGGTGGAGTATTAGGGTCAGGGTAAGGTTCAGGGTTAGGTTTAGGGTCAGGGTCAGGGTTAGAGTTAGGGTTAGGACATCGTTTGTCTTCCGATTTCGTATAGACAGTAAAGTCTCGTTTCCACCTCAGAAAGCCGCTAGTCACATGACCTAATCAAAATG